CAACAACAACAACAACAAGCAATGAAAAACACAATTTCTCTTTCACTCGCTTCATTTGTAAGTGTATTAGGCCCTGCCAATATAACCCTTAGAAGACGAGAGCCAGTCCAGGATGAAAAATGGCTTGGGACGTGAATCTGTCACTAAGGTTAAGTTGAAATCGGACTGCTCAGTTTTCCGGCACAAACGAAACCGACCGACCTATGAGTCGTCGCGTGCCTTTCACACATGCTAGTCTGTCACGTGGACGGCCCCTCGTAAACCATCGACGTTCTTTCGTAAATAATCTACATCACGAATACTTTAAAGACGCTTTCTATCAATCTATTAGGCCCGGCATGGCCGCCAGGTGGTTAGGGCACTCGACTCGCAATCTGAGGGTCGCGGGTTCGAATCCCCGTCAAACCAACCATGCTCGCCATTTCAGCCGTGGGGGCGTAATAATGTTGCGTTCAATCCCACTATTCGTTGGTAAAAGACTAGCCCAAGAGTTAGCGGTGGGTGATGATGACTAGCTGCCTTCCCTCTAGTCTTACACTGTTAAATTAGGAACGGCTAGCGCAGATAGCCCTCGTGTAGTTTTGCACGAAATTCAAAAACAAACAAATAAAATATTAAACTAATAATAAGCGATAACATCAAGCATTTTTCTTGATGTTAAGGGCACCTTTTTACCATTAATTACCAGTGATAAAGACGTTCATTGTTGTCTTGTCAATGCGTTGTGTCCCCGTCTCTGACACTTACATGTCTGTGGTAAAAACGTTCAGTGTTATCTGTCAAGTGTGTTGTGTTCCTTTCTCTGTGCACATTACTGTTGTTTATTTGTCTCAACCGTTAATCGGTTCATTTGTTATATAATTTTGTTCCATACTTCATACCTAGTTCATCTGTCCTACATCTGCTTTATCAAGTTCAAACAGCTTAAGTCACTGGTCTGAATTACACTAATCATTTTTACTACACAAAGATTTAGGGTCAAAATGTTAAATGTCGAGATCAGTGTCTTAATTCTTAACTCAAGTGATATCAATCAAAACTTGTAGAGCAACATCTTAGATGAAATAAACAAATATAGACAGGTACACGATAAACACCCTCCTAGACAGATACACGATAAACACCCTCCTAGACAGATACATGATAAACACCCTACTAGACAGATACACGATAAACACCCTCCTAGACAGGTACACGATAAACACCCTCCTAGACAGGTAAACGATAAACATCCTCTTAGGCAGGTACACGATAAACACCCTCCTAGACAGATACATGATAAACACCCTCCTAGACAGGTACACGAT